TTTCGGCTCCCCACTCATGACAACGTTTGGCCATCTCCGAGTCGTCATCATCCATCGTTACAAACGAGCCACAGGCGTAGGGCTGGGCATCTGACTGATTGCTAAAGTACTGGACCACAGCTTCCCCAGAGCTGTTAGTGACCGTGGCCACGTGGAACGTACGTCCCCCTTGCTTACTGCAGTGGAATCGCAGTTGACTGAAAGACAGGTGTGTTCTCAGTTCGAGCATTGCGCTGTCTGTAAGAAACGTCTTATTGTTATCACAGCTGCTTATTCCGTGGTATGATGTCTCAAGTGACAACGGGAAGGGAGATGAGCCGTCAATCACAACGTTAGAGACAAGAAGCCAGCCTCCTGAAATCAAGAAACAATCAGTGTTTGTTTGACGAACGAAACGTTTCATGGTCTTCAACAAGGCTGAAAAATTTATTTTATACGAAAATTCATTCTAAAAACTTTAGCAGTAAGTCATACTCTAGGTATTGGACTGAGACTAGCTTGCAACTGACGCTAATGCGAGGGATTCTTGCCAAATGCAAATCTAAAATCCTGTACTCGTTTGTTTCAAAGGAAAGATATTTAATTCCCCTTTCTATTCTGAAAATTATCCATTACTTACCACCGTCAGTTGTCATGTCACAGGAGACTTTTAAAGGGTTTCCGTTCTTCTCGGGGTCGATCCAGTACTTCCCGTCTCCTTTGGAGTACCCAGAGTCCCGGATGCGCTTACAAGAGCCACTCGGACGATAGGAATACCAGCCTAAAGGTAAGACTATATAAAAGCAAGATGCTTTTCATTCTAATCTGTTTGAAGTATTGAGGAACCAGTAGTAATAAAACTAAGGCGGCTGACAACAGTTTCCAGCACCTTCCTAGACTTAGATTTTGATGGGTCATTATAACCGCTCTTTATCAGTGATGAACACGTTGTTATCATCTTCCTGACAAAATGTGTTGCCATAACAACAGTATGACTGCTAAAAACATTCTTAAGGTTCGCTTTAACTGGTAATAACTCAAAAGTGAGGTAGGTGACCTCTAATTTTTTTATTATCTTATTCTGATTTACATGATAAGATTCAACTTTTGGCAAAGTTAAGTCTACAAGGAAGTTCAGAGTCATCTTAAATTTTTGAAGATTTATGGTCGCTCTGAACCCATTAGACAATATAAAATTTGTAAAAAAGTTGCATCTTATCATGCAAATCAAAATAAGATAATGAAAAATGGGGGCCAACGAACTCTTTTTTGAAGCCGAAACTACGGGTGCTTTTACAGGTTATACTGTTGCTATGGTAACCTATTGTTAACACTATTGGCTCACCAGTGGCTGAGCATTTACGTGATACCAATGTTGTATTATCACTTGATCTACAAAGGTAGTATTCATCTGTCAAAGTATAGCTGTTGGAAAAGTGCTCAAAACTGTTACCAGCCTCCTTATGTGGTAAATTCTTTAAGGGGAATACGATTGTGGTCTTACATTCAAGACTGGCTAAGTAGAGCTAAGTCGAAGGCCCTGTTCTTGTTTGTTTAAAAGCAACGCAGAAATGGCCTCTTTTATTTATTACTTACCACCCTCGGTTGTCATGTCACAGTAAAGGTTTAAAGGATTTCCGTTCTTCTCGAGGTCCAACCAGTAATTACCGCTTACAACTGCTTTTCCCTCACTCGCCTTGATCTCTTTACAGGAATCTGCAGGAAGCTCCGGAATGGAACCAAGGGAAACTGGATTTGAAAGGAATAATCCCATTAATAATCCCATTAGAATTTTATGTCTGGAAGAGGAAATAGGATTGATCGAGTTCTGGCAAATAGTTTAACGGTAGCAGCAAAAATCGCTCAACACTTGTCAATCAGCACCGTCAACATCTTATCTAAGTTTTACAACTTTTTTACCACGTTTTGGAGCCCTGGTTATGTAATATCTGTCGCTGTTCTTGACAAAGTCTTCTGGTCTAGCCTCCTTGGTCCTGTTGTTCAACTCACATATGTCTTTGAACATGACGTAGTTATAGCTTTGACATCTGACATCAGAGAGGCATGCCTCTCTGCAGTCGAGCGAAAGTGGCCGAGCTTTAAGCGTCTTAAAGGTGTGGCCCCGAAGCATCATTTGGAAGACTGAATAGGTGTCAATCCCGCATTGCTGACTGGAAATGTTGTTGAACATTACAGACACCATGATCAGTAGAGTGATCACGAGACTCATTTGGTGAATCATTTTTGCCACACAAGGTGTCTGCAAGATCATCTGAGCATTCTCTTTAGTTGACTATGATTTTCTGCAAAATAACAATTTTGATAAGGAATAAAGAACATAATCTGTTTGCAGAACCAAGGTGAGAGGGAATCGGGCTTGTTTGACTCCCTTATATATGGAACAAATATTTATAATTAGTCCAAATTTGCCTTGTTATACGCCAAAACTTCAGTCCCAGTTACAAGCGTCGAAGCTCGATTTGAACTCAGGACTACCGACCCAAAAACATCTAGTAATGGCAAGTTGGAGGGTTTTAAAGGAGCTATGTCACGCTTTGCGTATCTTGAAAAGTTTAGCCGAAATATTTCAAGTTCGTCGTTTGCAATCGTGTCAATCTTCTCCATCTTTACCATCTCTGTTGCTTCATGATTAATTCCCTCTTTGGTGTTTTCTCTCGCAGTAAACTACAATTTAAAGGTTTCACGAAAATACGGTGATTGAGCTCGTTTAAAAGACCACCGGATTGAAAGACTTTTCGGCCATATCTGCCTCTTTGAGATAAAGCTTGTGTCTCTGAATTGTGCTAAGAGGTATTCCTAAAAATCTTCAGTCACTTATTAAACATTTTCCATTCTGGAATGTTTCAGATATTTTCGTGATGTTCCGCTAGAAGCAATATTAACTGCAATCCGTTATTTTTTCATGAAAATAAAATTTTATTTGGAACGCGCCATTCATCCATGTATAAGCGAAATCTTATACCGGTAGTTATTGGGTCAGTAAATGAGTTTTTTTCAAGGGGGTTTACTGAAATGCTCTGTTCATGCATTTACAGTTTAGAGGGATCAGCATAATTTAACGAAATAAGATAAAAATTTGGCATGAAAATTTCTTCAATCTGAAGAGATGATCCATCTGCGCCGACTCATACAAGGAGAGAAAGCATTTTTATACCATTAATAGCTGTTCAGGGTTTTTTTGCTGAACCAAAAGATGACGTTCGTATCTATGAGACGAATGAATACATTTCTTCGAGTTGCAACATATGTTCTGTTTAATTAATGTAGCTACGTGTTTACTGTTGTTGTAAGTTGGTTCTATGACTACTTAATGATGAATTAACTCAACAAACTCAACGATCAAAAAATGTTCCAAATTCACTAAATTTTCCATGTTAACTCACGCGGCCGCTCATGTGCGGGGCGGCCCATAAAAGGTCACGATGGAGCCAAAGTTTTAGGAAATATGCTATTGAGAAAATTAAGTTTTGACATGCCAAGGTTAACTTACATGCGTGGAACATTCGGTTCTTAAATTTCCTTGAAAACATTTTATTCTAGAACTTTGTGTTCGGACGTTCACCGAGGAGGACTAAACACCGCAATACCACAAAAAGATTCGGCAAATGCCATAATCTCGCAAAAAAAGCAAGAACAAACAAACAAACAAAAAAAAAA